TTTATAAAGAAAACCATACTTCTGCCTTCATTAACTACTAGGGAATGAAATTAAACCCAATCACAGAGACTACATCGAAGGCGAGACCAACTTATCTAGTGTATTAGTAGCTATTCTCTCACAATACAGCCGAGAATACCACACCAAATAGTAATATTTGTTTGCTAACTCAAGGAGATTGAATAAGGAATATCTGACAATAAGAAAAGACCCAAGAAGATATATTTTTGTTTCTATTTTTTATACGCTTTTTAGATGTATAATTTTACATGATTTGTGAATGTCATTATGGAAAAAATGAAAATTTGAATCATAAATTTTATTAATTTTTTTGAAACTTATATAATAATAATCATCATATCAAATTTGAATAATTTTAATTGGTTAAACAAAAGGTTTGAATTGTATTATAGCACTACGAAGGAGAAATTAAGCATGTTATTCTCTCCAAAGAATCAAAGATTCAAAATCAAACTTATTAGATTAGCTTATTCATTGAATATGTTTGAGATTTAAATTGTAGTTGCATATCAAGTTTATATTACTTCTGTCACTTGTTGTTTTTATAAGCACTACTTATATTCCAATTAAGCTATTACCTCTCAACTTGGTGATTATTAACCATTGGTTTTGCAACAAGTGCAAATTATCCAAACGGCCTAATGACACATTGCCATATTTTTGCACTTGTATATTTCAAATTTTGTTAACAAGTTCCTACAAACCCTAATTAAGGTGCTATCAGAAAGAATGTTATAAGGGTACTTATTAAGATAACTATTTTTGGGAATGTTTTGAATAGGAAATAAGGCTAAAGAGATTTTGCATGTGGCGACAAAGACAGCAGCTTGCAACAGGTATGGAATATGAAAATCATTGGTATTCAACTTTACCTAAACTTGACAACCATGAGGAATTTTTCATTTTCGATATTCATTCCTTTTGTGTTCATACCACATACTTGTATCATATGAGACATCACGATAAAAATGAGTAAAACATGTGCAAGTCGTACATAAAAAATCTAGTCATAATATTGGTTGTTGGCTTCTTCCATGGCAGGACATGCTAAGTCATTGATTAGTTCCTCAATTTCCCCTTTTCTGCTTTCTAGTTTGACAGATTCTGGTAATTATTTGATCATTTTGTACCCATAGAAAGCAATGTGTATAAGAGAGAGCAACGGTATTGATGGTGCAGCAGCACCTATGGTTATGGAGAAAAAATTAAATAAAAAAATAACCCAAGTTCCCAAGAGATGAAGAGAATGTCACAAATCCCAAGAAAAAAGAAATTATAGAGGGTTGAGTAAAATATTCTTCTGAATTCTGTGATTCTTCAGTCCGTTTATTTATTTTATTTCTAATTCTCTTATTGGTTGATGGTGGAAACTGTGTGATGGTCAACGATGAGCAGTGGATTGAACGGTGATGAGATATTTTGTTTGACATTGTGGAGTTAACATTTGATGTGATTGGCAAGCTGGAATCCTTTCATGAATGTCCACATGTTCGACTTTTTTATTTTATTTTTTATTTAAATATTTTTGCTGCCTGGCTAAACACAAAGAGGAGAATCCTTTGCTTTTGACTAAATCTTTCAAAAACAGCTCATTCTTTCATATGGATTGATTTTGTTACACAACTTTGAATCATTTGAAATGGGTTTCATGTTCAAATCATTTTATGTTGCATTCCGAAAAGCTAATTAGTACCAAGATCAATTTGTCATTGTATAACTCTTCAAACATAATTTTATTCCTATTCAAACTTAGATTTTTTTATTATATATATTAACTAAAACATATGAGAGAAAATATAATCATTTAAATTTAAATATCTTAATTTTATCCCTTATTTTTAAATTAAACTGTACATAACTAGATAAGGGAGCTAGCAAGTTTATAAATATTCCCTCTTGTCATTTGTAAAACATACAAGTTTGAGAATAAACATTTCTTTTTTCTTTCTAATTATCTTCTCTTCCCCTCTCTCTTACTTTTTTTATAATTTTCGAGATTGATTTGAGGACAGTATATTACTTATTTCAAAATTCAAAATCGTGCAAAGTTAAATTAAAGTTTCGTGAAAATTATTCATTAATCTCATTCTATTAATTAAATATTAAAACTTAAAATTTTAGTTTCAAATTTTAATTATAAGGTATCCTCTTTGAAATACACATATTCAAAATGTGATCAAAATTTCCTTTTTTCCACACTTTTATATGCAATAATTATACTTAGTAGTTAAAAAAAAACTAAAAATACATGTAGAGTATTGATGGAGAGAAAAATATGTTTGACTATACTGTTTGAAGTCCATAACATAGTGTGTGACATGCTAATACATGAGATTGACGGGATGCTTGCTTGACATTTGTATTTCTTGACTAGCTCGATTTCTTGCATATGCATGTCTAAATTTTTCTTTTTCTTAATTAATTGAATCAAACTCCACCAAAATTACTTCAAAATTTTGATATATATATATATATATATATATAGAGAGAGAGAGAGAGAGAGGCAATAAAACCATAAGTAATTCAGGTTTATCTCAATCATCAACCTGGAAATTGTCGAAATTGAACCGGTTAAGTTGAGGCGTGGGGAGCTTGAAAACATACTCTAATAGAAGATGTCACATCCCTCTAATGAATTCGTTTAGCATGGAGTTCAAAAATGATTAATTAACGTGGTTATATAGATAAATAAATATATATTATGTTATGATTGGACAGCATCTCCAAATCAAGTTTATTAATTGGGAACAAATAAGTGTTAATTAAACACAAAACATGATTTGACATGTTTAATGTCGAAATGATTTCGTGGGTTTTATGCTCCCACGTGCTCATAAAGCGAAAGAAAAGATGTTATTATAGCTATTAGATGTGCCCTAACTATGATTTGTGTTTATTAATTAACAAGATTCTAAGTTGAATCATAATCCTGCTCCCACCTAAACATGCATACAAGCAACCATTAACATGTACACAAATTTTTGTTTCTTTATATATATATATATATATATAGAGAGAGAGAGAGAGAGAGAGAGAGACAGAGACAGAGAGACAGAGAGAGAACATAATAAAATTGTTAAATGGGTACTCTTTTGATTTGATTCTTATATGTAATTGCTTGCTTACATATGCAAGATATTGAAACTGTGAATAATTTGTAAAAGGTTATAAAAATGTCACTTCTTACGAAAGAAATGAAAATAAAAAATTCCATAATTAGTATTCCAATTTATGTTCTCACACATTTCAATTGAACAAGTAATTATGAAGAAATTATATATATATATATATATATTTATTTATATATATGAAATAGAAAGAAAGAGATGGGAGAGGGTAGTGGGTCATGCCGTAGATCATGATCTTTTGAGGATGCTCTAAAGGCTCTCGATGAAGTTACACTTGACATTGACATGTATGAAAGAAAATTAAAACAACAACAAAAAGAAAGAAAGAAAGAAAGAAAGTCCTTTAGAGACTAGCTACATGCCTTATCAGATGCTCCAAAATTGAGCCACTTCACTTATGAATTATGATATATATATATATATATATATATCAAAATTTGCAGTTAAAATGGACCCCTTTGATCTTGCCATTGCAATCAATCTTTCTTTTTTGTTTTTTTGCTTTCGATAGAACAATTGGAATCATCTTTAATCAAGCCTACTAGCTCGTGTTTGGACAGGACTTGATCTTTTGCCAATTTCTATCCTTTACTTTTATTTGGAAAATATTAAAAAAAATAAAAAAGCAAATCCACATAAAATGTTCCAAGAAAACGACAGTTGGACTTATGAATCCCAGTGTAAATATATATAAAGGGAAGCAACACAAAATACAAAACAATATCAACTTCGTGTCTTTGGTCAATTCAAATCTTAATTGACGTTTAACTAATTCAACTTTAATATTTATCATTTAGTGACGGAGGGAAGATGGTGGCATCACTTTTTAATTTTTGATTTTTTATTATTATATGTATAAAATTTGAGATTCTTTAATTAGATCATGTATCATAACTCTTTAATTAGTGAAATTTTGAATCCACCACTTGTACCACTCTTTTGGAAAGAATGAAGAAAAATTTTAAGACCTAATTAACAATATTTTTTTTACATCGTAAGCTTATTGGAAGAAGGTAAAGTTTTGATCATCCTTCCCTTTTTTTCATTCTTCTCTGCCAACCATGAGAGAGGTTATATACATACAAATATAAAGCTTGATATATAATTAAATTTCTATAATTATCATTAAATAATAGGAATTCCAAGGAAAAAGGATGTTTCTTCATGATGATTTAATTTCGTTGATAGGGAAATTCTCTCTTCATATTTTTTTTTTACCATTCAAAATTATTGGGTTGTGACTTGTTTAATTAGGATTAGGAGGCAATTCATCCTCTAATGAGCTAAGCCGAAAAGGAAAACCCTAGCCTTTTTAGCTTGGGTTGGGATCATATCTGTTGGGCAAAGGATGTACAAGTCCATTGGCATGTAAATTAACAAATTGTCCTCCACAAAACAAATTATTTCTCAATTCTATAGGCGAGGTTAAGATATTTCATCCATCTGCTGCTTTCCATACATTGAAAAGCCAAACCATTTTTTCTTTGTGGGTACAAATTAAAAACTAACCATTTGATATAAAAGAATTTTGTTTCTTTGTTTCTCACTTATAATTTAATCCATGGCATTTCATTGATGATGAGATTCGCAATCTTGAGTGATTATACCAAATGTTCTTGCATGGTGGCAAATCTTCTTAGGCCTTTGGTACATGTACCAGAATCTTAAGCAAGGTTTAATGTAATGATGTCAACTTTCTTAGAATGTTTTGCCTTTTTCTTTTTAAATCTTTAATCAAGACATGA